TACAAGTCAACTTATACTACTAGGTGCAGTTTGTCTGACACTTATATTATTGACCTGTACTGTTGGCAGCAATGATTTGTGTATTGCAGATTACAAGTTAACCTCAAATACACACGTGCATTGTATTTGTTTACATCGTTTTGTTCGTGTTATTATTACCCACAACCATGCAATTTATTATGTTTATATTTTTGCAGAAGAGAAACCCGAAAATACTGAAACAAATGTAATCCAACTAATGGATATTTCATCTGCTGAAGTGATTGTCGTAGGTATGTATGTTTTATTACTAGTGGGGTTTAGGCATTTAACTTTATAATGTATGAGCCCGAATTACAGTATTTGTATCTATTCTGTAGTAAAAACTTTTTATTATTTTAGAAAGTATCACTGATTATACAAGTGTTGACCAAAACGTAATAACAATCAACAGTAATAATAATCTTATTGAAGAACAAAACACTAGCAATACAACCAGTGAAGGTAATATTTCTCACATCTTGTCATAAATCAATTTATTGTTTTGTTCAAATTATTGGGTAAATGACTTAATTCCTTTATCCCAGTGTTTTACGTCAAGTAGCAGCAAAGTAGACATATACATGAAATATTATAATAATTGAATAGTAGAACCTAGTAGAAATTCTTACCTGTTTAGGTAGGTCACTGTTGTGACATTAAAAATTGGTCATTTACCAAATAATTTGAAAAGAACTATACTTACATGGTTGCGGATTATGAATATTGCATTGGCTATTTGATTTATTTTAGGTAACAGGGACAATGGAATTATTCATTTAGAAGGCACCGATATTTGGGGATTTTGACCTTACATTACTGAACGTTGATGAAGAATTGTTATTAATACCTAATCAAGAAAAAAATCAACCCGAATTAGCGGTGAATGGTGATCATCTAGTTCAACAAGATGCAAGTTTTACACTACAAAATACAGACACGCAAAATTTGATGGATGATGAAGTGAATGTTACTCATCAAATTGCTGGCCCCTCTACCTTAAAACACAAATTATTAAGGTCATCCAACGAACACAAAACAAAAAAACAAAAAATAAGTGAACCTAAATTTACTAGGAACATGAGGAAGGAGAAGTATGAAAAACGAAACAGTGGCAAAAGTTATACTACTTTAGATGGAAAAGAGGTGCGGTCGCGAGAAATGAAACCGCTAACGAAGTGTCGAAATCTCTGTACTGAAAAGTTAGATGACTCAGTCAGGCAAGATATATTCAATAATTATTGGTCTCTTGGTAGCAGGGATAAAAGGGCCACAAGAGAAATGTAGGAAGTTCACACACTCTTTCCATTTTAAAGTAAATGGAAAACAAATTAAAGTGTGCCGAGGGTGTTTTATGAAAACCCTCGACGAAACACAAATGTTTGTGACCCTTACTATTAATAACAGCCTCACGTCTCCTGTCAATGGAATTCTCGGGACCGACGAAAGAGAAAAGATCCAACTGCTAGTAAAACCCCACTTAAAAAGTTGAATGAAGTTCACAAACATATTTTGTCTTTCCCTTCGTATGAGTCCCATTATACCAGACGCACTTCTGATAAGAAATATTTACCGTCTTATTTAAATATAACAATTTTGTATAATATGTATAAAGATGTCGTAAGTTCTCCTGTGTGCCATACCATCTATGCACGAGAGTTTCGTAAATTAAAGCTTTCTTTTAAGCAACCTAAGGTGGATACCTGTCATAAATGCGATGTCCTGGCAACAAAAATGAAGTTCGCTTCTGAAGATGATACAATTTTATTAAAAGGCGAATTAGATCAACATCACCAGGAAGCAGATAATGCCTATGTTATGAAAGATACAGATAAAAAATTGCTGCGAATGACATAACTAAGAGTAAGAGGTGTTACACTTTCGACTTGCAACAGCGTTTGCCAACACCGTTTTTAAATACAAATGTGGCTTTCTAAAAAAGACAACTGTGGACCTTCAATCTTACTATACACGAATGCGTATCAGGAAGTGTGTCGTGTTATATGTGGCATGAAGCTGAGGGAGGAAGAGGAGCGAACCAAATTGGTACTTGCATATCAAAGGAACTATTAGGGTTATCGGAAAGCGTTCAATATGTTACACTGTATTCCGATTCATGGTCAAAATCGCAACACGCATGTTGCAGCTATGTTTCTGTGTTTAATGCAAAAGAAAGCGTCACTAACTACGGTAGACCACAAGTTCATGGTACCAGGCCACAGTCACCTGGAATGTGATATTGATCATGGTATGATCGAAAAACAAAAGAAATTGTTAAATGTACCAATTTCACATCCCCATGATTGGTACCAGTTAGTAAGGGGAACAGGAAAAAAAACAAAAATTTAACGTAATTGAGGTACAGAAAATGAATTCCTTGACTATGCAAGTCTTCTTAAGACAAGTCTATTTATAAAAAAAACTGATGCTGACGGCGTCCCCTTCAAGTGGACGGATATTAGATGGTTACGGTATACCCAGGAGAGAGCAACAATTTTTTTTCAAGTGTACACTTGATGAAAATGCACCATTTAGAAAAATGAGCTTGAATCGAAGGAAAATTGATATAAATAAAGAAATGCAGCCCAAGCCATGTTACTCAGGACCTATTCCAATATCAGTGGAGAAAAAAAGGATTTGATGTCCTTACTTGAACTGATAAGTCCAACTTTTCACCACTTCTACAAAAACTTAAAAACTGCCAAAAATATAAAAAATACACTACCTGATATTGAAGGTTACGATGAAGATGACTTTTAAAATAGCCATTTTTATTTCATTTTTTATTTTTTTATAAAAACACAATGTTATGTTAATAAAAATTTATAATACCTTTCTCGTTCATCAATAAACTTTATAATCATGCGTAATTATTTATTTTCAATTTTAATAAAAATATTAACAAAGTATTGAGCGAGCGACAGCGACGACGTTAAGTACAAATCAATTCTAGCTTCCCAAATTACAGTGTCTCAATAGTATAAGTCAAGATTATAGAGTATAAGTCGACATCTGATTAGGTTTTTGTAGTATAAGTCAAATATTTTAGTATCCAAATATAATTTTCATTATTACTCTATTAAAATCTATTAATTGTATGTTTATAACACGAAATATTCGACACTTCAACAAAATCCATAAAATGAAATGAAAATATAGTCAATTAAAACCTTGTTGTACACCCTCTCCCGAAAAGTAATAGTTTTTGACTTATACTCTTACTAACTAACACCTTAGATATATATATATATATATATATATATATATATATATATATATATATATAATATATATATATATATAGGTTTAATTGGGTAGTAAATAGTGTGTTATTCGTAGACTTTAGACATCCCCGTGTTGCCAAATTATGCACAATTTTTAGGAAAAACGATTTCGCTCCGATATATTACAAATGACTTTAAAATTTTATTTATTCAAATACTTGAAAAATATATATATTTTTTTAAATCATAACTCAAAAATCTTACGTGTTAGGAAGTTTTTATCATCATATTCATGTTCAGAGAGCTAAAATTAACAAAAAACACCATTTTGCATTCTAGTCGCAAATTGGTTGTAAACTAGTGTTATTTACTACTTTGACGATCTACATGTTTATGTGTATGTATCTTTTTAGATCTAAATATCTCCAAAGATCACAGCGTATACCGTCCTCGTGTCCTTATATTTTATATGTATTCATGTGAACATGAAAGGAGAAAGGTCATCTATATAATTGATAACCGGTAATATATCTTAGTATGCGTAAAAAGAGCGGAATGAGTAGCTGCTGTCACGCACCAAAATTTCGTCAAAATGGTCCCTAACTTCGTTCCTATTCTTCATAGAAGGTTTTTTAATGTGAGTTTTTTTACCAGCTGTCCAATGTTTGTACGTACAAGTCTGTAGCTTGAAAAATATAGAAGTTATTATTACAATTGTTTATAAGAAAAAAACATATCCCTTTTTCAAACGGTTATATTGTGAATAGTTTCGATGAAAACGCCATATGCATTTAACTTCTGAGATAGTCTTAAAGAATCCTATGAAATTTGCTAAATGTGTCTAGCATCATTAATAGAGCAAGTTCAATAGTTTATTTAGCCTCAGGGATAAATATACCTCAGGGTTGTTTTTCGCACAAATTTAAAAGACGGTAAAAAATATTCTTGATATAAAAAAAATAATTTAAATATTGTTTATGTAAAACATAAGGGAAGAACAAACTTATAGACGAAAAATCAAATTGTAACCATAAAGTATGGTTAAAAAAAAACGCAAGGTAAAAATACGAGTACTTTTTTATCTATTCGTCATCTAGTAACCCCCACCTATGTCTTAAAAGCTTCAGATATCTGCGAAAAATTTTTCGACCTTTTTTTTTAACCAGACTGGGCTATAGTTATCTATTCGGTTTCGAGTACCAGAAACTAAATTCACTAAGAATAATTTTTACCGTGATGAACGGCATGTGGAATGCATATTATAGATTTCCTTGCCTACTAATTTATTAATCTGTCTGCTTTGTAAGTTTTAGAAAGCACAGTGGTAAAAACTTAAATTTAGTTTCGCCAAGTAGGAAATATTAAGATTCCTACGTCTATACGTCTTACGGCTATGCAACGTCTGTAAATAATTATTTTTATAATTATTATCCTTATAGATTCTCTTACCGACTAACTTATCAATCTGCCTGTTTTGCAAGTTTTAGAAGGCACAGCGGTAAAAATTTGAATTTAGTTTTGCCAAGTAGGAAATCTTAGAATTCCTAGTGTTGTTATTAGATAGCGTTGTAACGCTTGTAAATAATTATGTTTATAATTATTGTCCTTATAGATTCCCTTACCGACTAATTTATCAATCTATCTGCTTTGCAAGTTTTATAAAGCACGGTGGTAAAAATTTGAATTTAGTTTTGTCAAGTAGGAAACCTTAGGATTGCTAGTGTTGTTATTAAAAAAATAGTATTTTATGGTTCTTACCTCTGGTTTTGGACTTCCGTTAACTTTAGCTTTAAGTTCTAAAGGCTCGCCTTCATTAACGTCTAAGTTTCTGTCTAATTTTTTACCGAATGAAGGAGGAGTTTGAAGCATCGTCACTCTTGATGTAGTTTCAGCTTCTCCTACCACATTTATAGCCATGGCTTTGTACTAAAAATCAATATATACATATTAAAACATTCTACTAAGAATAGTAAATTTGATTTTTTTTTATAAAAGTTGCTATAGTATATTACGTATAATCCAATTGTACCGCTTAATGGTAGAAGAAAGTACAACTTAAAGTATTATTGAATGAATTATATTAAATATTATTAAAAAAAAATTAAATTTATTATCTCTAAAATCGAAGATTTACCAGATATGTATGCAAAAAGAAAAAGTTCTGTTAACCACATGGATATGTCAGAGATTCTTTATTTATACTTGCGCAGCAGATTTAATATTTTGGATTTCAACAGATATAAAGAGTTATAGTTCAGATAATAAACCCGGAATAATGAAAAAGGATCTAAGGAAATACTGCTGCTTAAATCATGCAAGAGGAAATAATGATCATGGATATTAATTTATACACTAAACAACTAGATATAAAAAAAAAAAACCGAAAAATAGTCACTTAAAAAGTAAAAACCTTGGGTGCACTAAGAGATCTATTATTGGAGAAAACGCATCTGGGACTGAAAACAACAATCAGGATATACCAAACTTGTATATCCTGACGTATTTGACCAATAGTTACATAACTTAATCAAAAGCTAATGTAAACATAACAAAATAGGTCCTAAGGACAGCCAAGACAAAAATATTAAGAACCCTAATGGGGAAAACAGGACATAGTCCGATGGAGGAGAGAACGAGGAAGGAACTGAACTCAATATATAACAAGAATGAATGATGATAGACTATTTAAAATTGTTAAAAGCTGAACTAAGCAGTATGTATACTACTACGAAGACTACCAAAGAGATTAGAAAAGAGCTGTTCATCGGAATCGCAAATATGTACTATGAAAAATATAACCCAGTAAATATAAGTTTTCAACCTAATGTGAGAAGTGAAAGAAACAATAAATAATCGTGATTATAATACCTGACTAGTAATTAAAACTTACAATTCCTGCTGTTGATTCGTCGAAATTTGTAATAATTAACTTGCTCGTAACTTGTGCATCTGAAGTTGTGACTATCTTACGGTTATCGTCCTCGACGATTGGTTTTCCATTGAAAAACCAACGTATTTCTGGTTTCGGTAATCCATCAGCTCGTACCATCAAAGTCACTTCTCCTGTGTGTTCAACCTGATCATCGACCAATCCAGTGATGAATTTGGGTCTTTCGGCTACAAACAATTTTTTTATTACATATTTGCTAATACAAAAAATTAAGAGTTTGTTAAAATGTGCTCATGAGTGTTGATGGTGATTTTTTTTTTCATTTTAACGAATGCTGTTTCTGCCTTCTAAATACTTATCTTTTTTTAGTAAGATGTTTCCATTGGGCATCTAAATTTTCACTCAACAGTAAATAATAGTATCGTATCTTACAAATCTTTTTCTTACTACTTTCTTCTGCTACTCTTGATCTAACTGCCCGACAGACGCTGGGGGCTCTCTGCGAATATAACGATAGCAGATAATAAGTTTGTTGGCATACCCCCACTACCTGTACAAGTCTGACGTCATAAGCCTTATTAAGTCGCCTTTCACGTCAGTGTTCAATAAGTTTTATAGGCGTAGCTTGTGAGGTCTGTGTCTGAGATATCACAGTAAGCGTGGTGGAGGTATTTCAAGCAACCCATTCTTTGCTGACCATGTTATCTTCGTATCATGTGTTGTCCAGTAATTCGCCATTTATGGCACATAATACGCCACTTATTCGTCAATATATCTCAAGGCAAAGTTAAACATGTTCCCCCCAGAATATATACTACAGGCGAGTCTTCTACAGGCGAATATACACTAACAAGCGAGTCTTCTTCAGCTGGCGCCGCTTCTCGCATCCTAATTTCCAGCATTTTCTGTCGAAGCAATCTTCAGTTGTTAGATCTCTGGCGGTCATTGCATCGTCGACATCGTCTCTCCAGGATCGTCTTGGTCTACCTCGTTTTCTTCTAGTTAGCGGAGTCCATTCTTCTATTTTTTTTTGGCCATCTGTTTTCCGGCATTCTCTGAAGGTGTCCATACCAGTTAAGTTTTTTTCTCTTTGATTGTATCTATTACTTCTAGGTCGATTTCCATTTCTCTCCAAATATCTTCGTTTCTCACCCTATCAAGTCTAGTGAGCTGGCAACATCGTCTCCAGTAGTTCATTTCCATGGCCTTTATTTTTGATTTGTTTCTTTGGTTTATTTCCCAGAGTTCGGCGCCGTACAGTCCAATACTTTCTATTATTGTTTTATAAATTCTTCTTTTATTTTCTTTTGTTATTTTTTTTTATTCCATAATAGTCCATGTAGCTGTCTGGTGGCTAATCTTGCTTGGCCAATCCCGGAATGTATTTCTTGGCTACTTCCTGCTTTTGATGTTATTTGGACTCCCAAGTACTTAAAATTGTCTATTGATTTTATAGTTCCCATTTCGATTTGTAGGCTTTCTGGTTTTTCTCCTACAACTAAGTACTCAGTTTTTTGTATATTAATTGTGAGGCCCCATTTGGTGTACTCATCTTCCAGTTTTCTAAGCATGTAGCTTATATTACTCTCGTCTTCAACTAGAATGGCTTGGTCGTCAGCGAAGTGTATCGTGTACAACCTATCATCTCCGATTGGAATGCCCATATTGCAGCACTTTCTTCTCCACAGTGAGAGTGCCTCATTTAGATATATTTTGAAGAGTGTAGGTGCTATGCAGCAGCCTTGCTTTAGGCCCTTACTAATAGGAATTTCTCTAGTTAATCTATTTCCAGTTTTAATGTTTGCCGTCATATTTTTGTAGAGCTGTTGTACTGCTTGTATATTTTTTTGCTTATTCCTTGTTTTTGCATTGCTTCCTAAAGCATTGAAAGTGGTACACTATCGTATGCCTTTGCCAGATCTATAAAGACTAGTTGAAATGACAAATGAGTTGAAAGGTTGTGGGCTAATCTTTTCTCGATAACTTGCTTTAGAGAGAATATACTGTCCATGCAGGATCTGCCTGCACGAAAGCCATTCTGTTCTTCTACATCTGTCATCTCTTTTTCAATTTTATTTTTTATTATTTTTCCATACAGTCTTGAGAGTGAATTTATGACACTTAGCCCCCTGTAGTTTGAACAATTCTTTCTATCTCCTTTTTTGTAGATGTTGTTAATATGTGCTTTTGTCCACTCCGGTGGTAAGTCGTGTCCATTATAGAATAAGGTGAAGACATACGCCAATAATTCTCATAATACTTGTGGGCTATGTTTTAATAATTCATTTGGTATATTTGGTATACCGCATAACTTCCGATTTTTTAGAGTTCGTATTGCAGTCTCGACTTCCTGTACTGTTATTTCATCGTCTTCACTGAATTCCAGTTCATATGTTGTTGTACTGATGTTCGTGAATTGAGGTCTTGTTTCAGTCAAAAGTTGTGAGTAGTGTTCGATCCAAGATTTTTCTTCTATTAAATATATTCTACTCGTTTCTTTTCTGTTTGTTCTTAGATTTTTTACCGTTTTCCATGCTTCTCTTGATCTTGTTGACCCTATATATTTGTTGAATTCTTCGCATTTACTTTCCCAGGAAACATTTTTTGTTTTAGTTACTAAATTTTTTACTTCTCTGATAATATTTTCATTAATTCGTAATATTTTTATATTTTGATTTTAATAGCAAGGTTCCGCTTTGTTAATCGGTGATCTGTTATTGACTGTGGTGGCCCGTATTTTTGTGAAACATCTGTTGTCACACGTTTTCACCATATTGTTTTTATTTTGTCATCATCATCATCATTTTGGCTTTACAACCCTGTGTGGGTCCTATCCTCCCCAAGAATTCTCTTCCAGTCGTCCCTATCCATCGCCTTCCTCCGCCAACCACGTATTTTCATATTTCTCTTTCTTTTTTGTTTTCATCAATTATTTGTGAGATCAGATAAATAATCATGTTTTAATAATCGAGTGTTTTTGAAATAAACCTGAATTTTGTCAATGAGTGGTTTTTTTTAGTGTAAACTTTAAGCAGATAAAATTAATGTGGCAATAATACCTCTTGTTGTGGATATCCACCGCTAATATAAAGAACGAGATAAAATGAGTAGATTAGGTAGAATGTGGTTTCATCATGAAATAATGTCTGGATGTGATGTGTTTACGATGTATAATAATGGTAAGCTCAATGTATGTGTTATTTACCATGATGTTAAAACCGATGTCAAATATATTAAATAGCGATTTAAAGGCATTAATAAATAATTACAGAAGCTTGGCGTGATTTTTTTTAATTAAAACTTACTAGTTGGTTCTGCCTCCTCTGTAAAACAATTGTGTGTTAGGTCAGAAGTACTACAATAAAGTTAAAAGAGCAAAGAATACAAATAAACAAAAATAAAAGTTTTCTTACTATAGCAGTGATTGACAGTTGCAAAGTGTGAACTTATAACATGTGCGTAAATAATCCGTACGAAAACAGAAAATTAAAATTAAAACAAGAAAACCAAGATAATTTAAGGCAATTTAAGCGATAGCAGATATAGCTATAGCAGATCGTTTGCACATTTCGTATAACTCAGAGGACAGAAAACAATATTATTAAATCGTTTTCGTTTATGGCCACCAAAGTGAATGACACCTCTTAACGCTAACTACTGCAGTGGTAAAGATTTAGGAGACATTCGACATAAATATATACATATATTTAACATTTATGTTATTCTTCCCGGTTAAACTGCATCTAATTTGGCGGGCGATGCAGAACTTTCGACTCCCTCTCTGGAGGAGAGACTAATGAAAATACTGATGAATCCTTCAAAGAGGAAGAAAACCCTCTTTGGAGGGAAAGCTCAATCAACATAGCCAAATTTATCACCATGTAGTACAGAGACTGAGTTATTAAGAAACACACGTTTGTCACGCTTATTATAGAAAATTCATAGTCCACTATTAACTGAAAAGAACTATTTTGAAAGAAATCATTGATAATACAGTAAAAAAACTGATCAAATCTTTGGAATTTTAAATACACTTTGCATGACTGTGAATGCTTTAATGCTCACACGTATCCATTTTTCACTAATGCAAAAATTTATCTATCGTATAAATGCGTAAATCTTATTAATTGTATAAGGTTTGCTTTAATAAACTATTAACTTTTTATACATGTGCATTATCCTCTTTTATTAAAAATGATAAAAATATACTTACTAATAGTCTTAAGGCGAGCCTCAGAACTAGCATCTCCCAACTGATTTGTAGCAGTAACCTTATAGTACCCTTCATCTCCCAATAGAACTTGTTTGAACACCAACTTGTAGGTCTTATTAGCTTTATCTTCAACGATCTTAATCAGATCGCTGGCTTGAACAACGACTCCGTCTTTGGTCCAGACAACTTGGGGTTCAGGGTTGGCCTGGATGACGACAGTGAACTCCGTCGCGTCTCCTGGAACAACCTTAACGTCATTAGGACCATCGATTTCAGGTCGCATGACTATTGAAAGATTAGCGCTGCTTTCAGCTTCTCCCCACTTGTTCTTTGCTTTGATTGTGTACTTTCCGGTCGCTGATGTCTCACCTTGAATAAATATATTAATCAATTATTAAGAAAGAAGAAATTAAATAATGAAAAAATTATATTTTATGGCGACGTGCGTTAAATCATGTATTTTATAGCGAGGTGCAAATAATCACGTATTTTTGCTTTCGGATCCCCGGCAATTTAATCAAAAGCGATTCTTTTGCCTTAAGTAATTCACTGTCGTATCTGCGAGGTATATGTTAGCGTAATAATTTCTTAGTGCTATCTACTATTCAGACATATTAGTGCAGTCACTGTTTAATTGATGCTAAAATGGGTCATTTTAAAATCTGCGAGACCAAACTAATCCTAATTAACGACTTAGGATGATTGAGTTTACTCATAGAGGATTTTTCTTAAATATATATTAAAGTTTAAGTATATATAAAGCGTTTTTGAAAAAAAAACTAGCAGTGTCAGCTGGTGAGGGAGAACTACGGGGTGCCGCCCTGTAAACAGAAAATGATGTTTAAACAATGAATTATATTTCATATTTTTATATTTCAGGTTCATACTTTTTTGTTGAAACTTCATTTACTTTTTTTTTAAATTTTGTTTATTTATGTTAAGCGTACACACTATACTCGAGACTAATTTTATAACGGCTGATAAAGGCATGTAGTTACCATGAAAACAACACGCAGTAACTATAATCATTTTGAAGCACATCGCTCTACAGTCTACAGACACGGAGCTAGGGCGATGATATGGGCGTTCAAAAAGCAGTCCCGAGATAAAACTTAACATTCGATTGGATAAGTATTACGCGTACTACATAATTTTTTGTATCGATAAAGTTAAGTTGAAGTCTTAAGAAAAGACAATAAGGGTAAGTGAATTAATGAAACTAAACTTTGGTTCTTTGAGTGTGTTTTTAGGACGACTTGATTACACTAAAAATATAGCTTTCATACATTCTATTCACTTAAAAGACGCTGAAGGATTAAAGTGACTTTAAAAACTGTAAAAAATAAGCTCTTAGATTGTATCTTCCGTAGATTAGATATGTAGTGTAGATATATAGCAGATATGTAGAGAGTAAATTTAAAGTGAAATAAAACAATCTCCATTTTTAGTAGAAGATATAACACATGTTTCTACACAAACTCAGACGATATCAATCCTTCGTTACATTTTAGCCGGAAAATACATGAGCGATTGTCAAGATGCTGTTGGTATATCGACCTGTATTTTGGAAAAAATAATCCTATTTCAAAATACTCGCCCGAGAATATAATTGCACAGATTTCCCACTGTGCTGCTGTAATAGGTGGTCATTTGCGGGGAGTTAATGTTAAAGTCCCAGAAATTTACAAAATTCACATTAATGTATATTGTTACGCGTATCAATTGACAAAAAAATATTTTAACAACAGCCCTATCAAGTGATAAACAAACGAATTAAAAACCATTACAAACAAGATGAAATTTTCAGTCTATAGCGATAAAAACGGAATGTTTTGAAAATATTGAGTCCGAAAATCCTAAAATATAAAACACGAAGATGCATGCTATTAACACTTTTGAAAAATTAGTTAGAAAAAACATTAGAACAGCTTATATCCTTTACGATGGAAAATATGCAAGAATCGGGAGGACCGAAGATACGGGTACGGAATGAGGAAAATTTGAATTTATCTAGAAAGGAAATATTTCAACCCCTCAATAGAATAATGTTGTAATTAACAGTTTTGGCGCTTTTGAGTTACTGAGTTGGCGCTTTATCTAGAAGAGAAACAATTCGACCCCAGCATAGAATAACGTCGTAATTATTATTTTTGGCAATTTTGAGTTACAGTGTTTTCTTGTATAACTTTTTATGGTCTATCCGCCAATATCGTCGGTGTGGCTATAAATGCATTTATAAAAAACATTCCGAATGGAGTAATACTGTAATTATAAAAAATATATTATATATTTACACAGTAATCGAGTAACTATAGATACAACGCTAAACCAAATATAATTTTCGGCGAAAAATGCGAAAAATGGCTTAATTATTGCAATAAAACCCGACCGCAAGTACCCTAGCTTAGTCAACATTAGTTGAGCAGGTAAGTATTCAGGTAAAATTGAAGCTACTGTGGAATGTCATTATTTTGCTTGTATCAAAAATTCCTGGTAATATTTATATTACCAGGTATTATAACGATTAAAAAATCGTATACAATTAAAAAAAACGATTAGAATACATTTTATTTCATAAAGTTTTCTCTATTCTTGGACAAGATTAAATTAATCACCGTGTTCGATAGTTGCCTTGTATACCGTCAAAGTTTAATTATTCGAACATTCAACCTTATATTGATATGTATATTTGATTTTAAAGAAGTTATGACAACATTACTTTAGCATCATATGGAGCTCTGTCAGACATCTTCAAGTTTAACATGCCAAACTCTTTGAAAAAGAGAACGTTTGACCAATGTGTGCTTTTAGTCATAACTTACGGCGTCCAAACACTTTCTTTAACTCAGGCTACAGCAACCAAACTCAGAGTAGCCCAAAGACAAATGGAACGCTCGCTACTTGGACGGACTCTTAGAGACAGAGTTAGAAACGAAGAAATAAGAGGCATAGGCGTCACAGATGTTATAGAGCGTATAACATGGCTGAAGTGGAACTGGGCGGGCCATGTGACCAGAATGAATGACGAGAAGTAGACCTAAAAAATTTCAATTTGGAGACCACGAGCTGATAAAAGAAGTAAAGGTAGATCACCTACACGATGGACAGACGACATCAAAAGAATCGCCTGGAATTGACTGCAAGAAGCTCAAGATCGACAGAACTGGAAGAAATTAGGGGAGACCTATATCAAACTTTGTACGCAGAAGGCTGTATATTGATGATGACAACATTTCCAAATTGTTATATAAATGAAGAAAACGAAAAAATTGTCTGTACTATGGTCAAGTACATAAATATTTTTGAAACCATCAGCAGTGAATATTCAATATAATTTTCTATCTGATTAAAAAATTAAGTTAAACTTGCTACAAAAACCTATTTCCAGAAAAAAAAGAATGTCAACTCCTAGTAAAAACTTTTTTAAGAAGCTAGATCTAGCATATTCATCTCATCTAGGGATAAACAAAGCAAAATATGATGATCTGCTCAGTTTATGTTTAAGCGAGTGCATTCCTGTCACTTTTACGAATAGCACGATATTTTTAAAATCTACCAGTTGATTGGAAAAATTCATTCAATTAAGAGAACGATATTAATATAGAAGACTAAAGAAATAAAATAAAAACTACGTTCATTTTTAAATGTAATTCAAAATTTTATTTAGTTTGCAATTAAATTTGTATTTTAAAAACTATCTACTGTTATTATACAACTCAATCTACAACGAGCATTTATCTGAAATACATCTTCACCTTTCCGATAAGAATGTTGTAAGTGCAGTTATAAAATTAATCGATGAAACATTATATTTATATCAAAAACTGTAATTGATACAGTTGATATATTTAAAAAACTATCCTTTAATGAAAAATAGTAGCCCTTATTTTAAATGTGGAGATCAACATTTATATAAATATTATATAAATATATATACAAAAAAGTCACATTTATATAAAAGGTAAGGGCCCGTACACATGAGGACGGTAGACCCCGCGTTGACCGCACGTTAGAAAAAAGTGGTATCGTACACATGACAGCGCTTAGCGCCGCGGTTTACCAGCTTAGTCGACAGCCAGTACAGTTATGTAGTTATAATGTATTTGGTTGTTATATTGTAGATTTAGAGCAAAAACGACAAAGAAGATTGTGGGTGCACCCTGTAATAAAGATAGATTGACCATGGATTTTTTTGTGACTCTGTACCCAAAATTGAGAAAATATCCTCCAAAGTTTTTTAAATACTTCCGAATGAGTAAAACATCTTTTGATAAACTGTTAACTTTATTAAAATAATGCTTATCGCCCTATGAAATTGCAGTAAGTGATGATATTTCGCCCAAAGAAAATCTCTTTGTAACATGAAGGTATTTATTTAGGTCATCAAATTTCTTTAAATTTACAGGAAATATGGAGATATACAAGGCAATTACTTCCTTAGAAGCAGTAAAGCATTATCTTTCTTTTTGTCCACTACAACTGGTAATAATAAATGAAAAAAAAAATGAAAAAAACTAAAGCATAAATTTTTTTTTTTAAAATCGAGTATTTATGATAACTATTTGTAACTGTCTGAGAATTTAGGAGATGTTTGCGAATTAATGCTTTCTATTGGCGAAACGGCTGCTTTTGCCAACATAGGTTGAAAAAAAGATGTCATGTCAACAGGGCAAAACCCCGCGCTTGAATGTGAACCTGTGTATGATCACATGCTTTTCCTAGTAACTGGAAGCATGCTGCAAAGGGGGCATTTGAAGTGTATTCTACGAGCTCCACGTTTTGACGATGTTGGTTCTAAACGTGTGCTTGCATGTGAACGATACCATTATCACATACATGGTATCTTTTTTTATCCTTTCTGAAGAATATCTTAAATGCTAGTTACAACGTTTTGTTTGTAGGGGTCGAATTGTTACTTTGCTGAGTTGTTTAAAGCAGCAGTATCAAAGGTTAAGATAGGTGTAATGATAGCCAAATTTCTTAAAGGAGACGGTACTTAAAGAAGAAGAAATAAGGAAAATGTAATAATATTATTCTTCAAATTAAGGATCGTTTTGCTTTTAACAATCATCTATCTAGTGAAAAATTGTTTGACAAAGAAAATTATCAATATTATGGAAAAGACCTCTAGAAGACATTTGAATCTTTTGAAATGCATTTCCCATAGTTGAAAAATGTGCGTTTAAATTAAAATTGACAATATTATACTACTGCACTCAGAAGTAACACAAAAAAATGAAAATGTAATCGGTTATATACGTACTTTAAATTTAATGGTATCATATGGTTTGGATTCAACATTTTATGACATAAATAATTTTGATTATTTTAATAATGATGCCAATGACAACTGTAGAAACTAAAATAGGTTTCTCTACTTTGAAATTTATCAAAATATTTCCCAGGAATACAATGTCTAAAAAAACTCGCAGTGTTTGTCATGTTATCCATAGAAAAAACTTTAGTTTTTGACTTCAAATAAAAGATGAGAGAAAGGTTCATCTTCGATAAAATCAGAAAAATTGAGTTTTATTTACAGAAGTAGGATTTTGATAAGTACAATATTGTGCTAATTATTGGAATCATTATGACATTTTTTAATATTATATGTAATTATATATATGTACTATATATAATTCGCAACACTGTTCACACATTTACAACTGACCAAGCATTAATAACATAACCTTACTTTTCTCTGCCTTTTATTTGAGGGTCTTTTATGACATTTCCCACTAAGTTTGTGTTTTTTTGTACTATTTTGTGTGGTATTCGGTAATTAGTAAGTTTGTTTCGTTTAATTCCATCATGGATATTACGCCTAGGCCTAGCATGAAAAGGTTATCACGTTAAGTGACCAGACTTCTATGTCACAAAGAGAAATCGCAAGAACGTGTGGACTGAGTTAGGGGTAGTAATAAAGGTTTTGAAGCGTAAGTGAGAAACGGGATTAATGGATGTGAAAAGGTTAGGAAAATGCGAAAGAAAGAGAAAAACAATACCAGCAGATGAAAGATTTTTACTTCGAAAAAGCAAATCAGACCCAAAAAAAACAAGCCAAGAACTCCAACAAGATATAGCAGTATCAAATGTAGTGATTCATGACTTAACTGTTAAAAAAAAACAGCTTCTAACTCATCAAATAAAGAAACAAAGGCTATTGTGGGCCAAAAATACTCTAATTGGACTCTAGACGACTGGAGAAGAGTCCTATTTACAGATGAAATTTACTTTATAGTTCAATGACAGCGGTCGAAACTCGTCAGGAAGTCTGACCTTACACCATCTTATATTGATCAAACCGTAAAACATCCAGTAAAAAAAATTGGAGATGTTTTCTATACATTGGGGTTGGTCTTTGATACCAATCGAAGGCATGATGAACGGCCAAAAATACAAATCTATATTGGAAAAGCGTTTGGACACAAAACTCCAAAAATGACTTTAACAGAACTCTTCTAACAGGCTCCCTGTTACAAGTCAAAGCAAATAATAGAATTTTTCAATAATTAAAAGATTAATGTTTTAGATTGGCCGGTAATTCGTCAGACCTCAACTCCTAAAATAAGAAGCGGTCATTCAGGTTTGGTTTTAAGATAAAAGGATATCTGGGAACCGTCAGAAGCTCGTAGAATCTGTGCCAAAATGGGTAAAAGCAGTAATTGCTGCGAAAGGGGGACATATTTCGTAATAAACGATGTTTATTACGAAACCTTTATAGTTCTGTCAAAATATAATTTATTTAAATATACTGTTTTTTCATTAAAACAGTCTATGGTTCCATTAACTCGCACACTACTGTACTTATTTTTTTTGTATTCTCGAATCAGCGATCCTTTAAACAAAATTAACACCAGCCGCCTCTAAAAACTAAGTACTAGTTAAATATTTTAATCTCCATACTTACATCTAGGAATGGCCAATGAATAGGTACATTCTTTAAGACCATCCTCAATTTCAGTGTCCTCCGATTCAAGTATAATCTTCTGTTTCTCAAATTCTTCATCTGAAATCTCTTTTCCATTTCTACACCTAAAATTTTAGTAGAAATCCATGAAACATTAAGGATATAGCACTTAGAATATCAACTAACCAGGCGACGTCTGGAACAGGATCACCAATAATGACTGCTTTGAATGCTGCAGTAGTTTTCTTAACAATTGATTGATCTTTTAGTGCTTCTTTTATTTTAGGACGTCGCAACTCCTTTTCGGCTAAAATAAAAGAAAAATAATTCATTAGGAAAGTACAACAAAATAGTAATATAAAATAAAAGAAAAATAATTCATTAGGAAAGTACAACAAAATAGTAATATAACCATTAGAAGTTTTTAAATTAAATAATAAAACATGATGACATTTTAGATAAAGTTTAACGAAGAAAATAATATACAGAAAACTGAAAAGAAGTCAATATATTTGAATGGTAAAGTAATCAGTTGAAATATAAACTGACTGACTGACAGGATAAGCAAGTCGGAACACATTTCCCAAAACAAACTTAATTGAAACATAAAAAAAACTTGGAAAACAATCATTATTGCCTAATAATACATATTGAGTAGTTATGGCAAGAAAAAGATTTATTTGTAACAAAATTATGTATAAATAAAATTCCCGAAGTATTTTTTGATTCGAAATATATGTTTTGTTCAGTTAATATTTCTATATAAACTTTATAGTTTTGTCAAATTACAGGAAAATTTAATTAAGTTTAAGTCTCTTGCAAATAAAGGAATTATTTATAAGCAGTCTTATATAAAAAGAATGCTACAATCAAGGTACGAAATAGTAAAGTCACTTGTTAGTAAAAAACGTTGCTGCATGTGTATGAAAAACAGAACAGTTTAATTGAGTGACGCGGAAGTATTGTGCTACTAATGCTATTATAGCGACTACATGGCCGAAATGTGGGACGGAGACACACCGGTGAAAGTTTAAATATAACCTGTCGTCATTAGGCTTGGTGACGACAGAAGTGATAGTAACATATTCTGATTCGATTTGATGCATTGGGAAAGATAAGACATATATCATATTGGAGAATAATTTTGGGAAAATAACTTAGGATATGTCTAGAAACTGGTTCAATAACTTACGTGTGACATCTAAAACTGCTTGCTGCACCACCTTTCCTACAGGGTTACTCAAAATACACTGATACACGCCAGCATCTTTCAGTTCGAGCTTCTTGATCTCCAACTTGTACTCATCGCCGTTTTGTGAGATGTTCATTCTCAAGTTGCCATCTGGTTTCAGTTCTTTGCCGTCCAAAGTCCAAGTGGCCACTGGAGGAGGATTGGCGAAGCCTTTTACGATGTAAGTGATGTCGAGAGATTCCGGTCGGGAGCCGTCCTTCATATTGGTTCCCAGAATCATAGGCTCAGCTGTGGGAGTTAGAAACTAATTATTTTTTGTTTTATACCTTGTGAAAAGTTCTTGTCATGAAAGTGACTTAGTTGACTATGTGAAACATGTTAAAGTTTTAATACAAATATTTACATACATGGAGCAGAATAAGGCTTGTGATACATATACAAAATATATCTCAAAATTCACGTCCGAGCTTTGGAGGCCTAGTAGTTCAGGGGACTACAGCAATCGATAAATAATTGTAATATACTTTTATCTAAACAGATTCATCTTTTATAGTAGGAAGACATAGAGTTAATTTCAATGCAGGGCCATCCGCTTATACGTTTTTCGACCTACTTAGGTCTTCTCAGAGCGACATATGCAGAAGCTCTGAATTAGAAATAAATCTATCCCATCAAAAATATAATTGAAAATAATGTGTTGTTGGTTATTTTATGAAAATAATTATATAGGACGTTATAACGTTATAGCTTCTTCAACTAAGAAATCTTTGAATTTCTACTTATTCTATTATTAGATGGCGTTGTAACGTTCTATATAATTATTTTTATAATTATACTTTTATGATCGAAGAGATTTATTTTCAATCCATAGCTTCTGCATAGGTCGCTCTGAGGAGACCAAAGAAGGTCGAAATATACATAAGCGGATGGCAGAGGCCCTGTGTTGAAATTAAATTTCAAAAGTCTTTCTGCTTAATATATTGTAAAAAGCGCAGGAGATAAATATTTGAATTTTAGTTTTGACAAGTAAGAATTCTTCGGATTTCTATTAACTTTATTATCTCTTATACTTTACGTTTTCTATATCCACAATTTTCTTCTTTATTTTAAAAACTTCTTCTTCTTCTCGTGCCACTCCTAGCGGAGATTGGAAATCATCATGGCCACTGCGACTTTGTTAGCAGCGCGCCTGAAAAGTTTAATCGAACTACATCCGAACCATTCACGTAGATTACGAAGCCACGATATTTTTCTTCTTCCCACACTTCTTTTGCCCTTAATTTTGCCCTGCATGATGTTTCTTAAAAGTTCGTACTTCTCACCTCTCACAATGTGCCCCAAGTATTCCATCTTTCTAGTTTTTATCTCATTTAGAATTTCGCATCTTTTGTCTAAAGTTTGGAGTACTTGCGTGTTAGTGACGCGGTCCATCCATGATATTCTGAGAATGCGCCTATAGCACCACATCTCGAAAGCTTCGATGTTTTTTATGGTCAACTGTTTTAGTGTCCAAGCCTCAACTCCATATAACAGGGTAGAAAAGACATAACACCGCAGCATTCGTATTCGTAACTTTATATTGATATCACGATTGCAAAAGAGTTTGCGCATTCTATTAAAGACTGATCTAGCGATTTCTATTCTACGTCTAATCTCTTTTGTTTGATCAGTATCGTCTGTGATCCAAGCACCTAGATATTTATAACAGGGCACACGCTCAATCGTTGTATTGTCTATTACAAGATTAGCTCTGATGTTCTTTGATTTCGTGATTACCATAAATTTAGTTTTTTTCAAATTAATTTTCAAGCCGTAACTGTTACAGTATATATTGAGACTTTGAACGAGATGTTGTAGTTCTACTAGCGTTCCCGTTAGGAGAACTGTATCGTCAGCATACCTTATATTGTTGATCGTCTCACCATTTATTATCAGACCAAGATCTTCTTCCTCGAGTGCTTGTTCACAGATAGCTTCACTATACAGATTAAATAAAAGTGGCGACAAGACACATCCCTGCCGGACTCCTCGACGGATTTTAAAAACTATCCACCGTTATTCTTGTTCTTATATGTGGTTCTCACTCCCTCTAAGGAGGAAATTCATTCATCCTAGCTAGATACGTACGGTATCAAAAGGATTCAGTTTGGTGCTTTGGGCTTTTTCTGTGTAATCGATCCCCCATGGTACGTCGGAGTATCCCCTAAAAATTTTCTTACGCATCTGGATATTAAAAGCAGAAGATTCAGCTATTTTATGTTTTCTAGAAGGTTTTTTGATTGTCTGCAGTAGTAGAGACAATAATAAGTATCCTCTAGGTACTTTACATTCTCCATTGTATACTTATTTGTATCTTAAGATTTCTGAACTTGGCTATCTGTTCGTAGTTAACACACGCATCATATTGTTGTTAAATATCGCCATATCAATCAGTATTATTTGTCTAGTTAGTTTATTACAATTAGTATAATATGAGGTCTGTTATGCGTCACTGATTGGTATGTGAGCACAGTGTGGTCCCAGCATAGTTTGTAGTATTCTTTTACAAGCGTTCTGTCAGAAAAGTATTGATAAGGTTGGAAGGAGTACCAGTTCATTGGCTAGTTCTTGGTGAATAATCTTTTCTACTGAGTCATGGCGTTCTATATAATCAGTTTGCTTGGAAGCCCCCGGTGAAATGTTGGTAAACTTTGCTTGGAATAACCTAATTATGAATAGGTTACAAATAGGAAACCCTCTATTTCGGGAAACATTTTTACTGATGTCAACCAATAGTTTAAGATTAATATTATTATTTATTTTAAGTGACATATTTTATTTGAACTACACATACAGTTAGTGCTCGAAATGTATTTAAATTTTATATCGTAAAATCTATCCACTAGGTTTGTGTTTAAATGTTATGAATCATTCCCTCCTATTGACAAGTACAATTCTTTCGGTTGTTTGGAAATATACTACTCTACATTATAGTATAGGGCCGTAGGTCGTAATCCTTGAATCATTCTTCTTCTTGACTGGCTTTACAACTCGGAGTGAGTCTTGGCCGCATCCACTCTAGCCCTCCATCTTCTATGATCTTGAGCTTCCATTCCCATTATTTTTTCCTAATGCTAGATCAGTCAGCTTTAACATCATCCTTTTATCTTTTTCTGTGACGACCTACTGATCTTTAACCGTCTGGTCTCTCAAAAAACACTGTCTTTAGCACTCAGTCTTCTTATGATCTTATCATATGACCCGCCCGTCTTATTTCGTTACCTTTTATATGTCTATTGATGTTTTCAGTACCAAAGAGAGTCACCAATTCAGCATTGTGGCCTTTTCCGTACTCCTGTCAATTCATCTCTTTAAGGTCCAAATATAACTCTAAGAACGCTACTTTCAAATACCAGTAGCTTATTTATTTCCCGCTGATGTACAGTCGATATTTAACTTCCATATGTAACCACTAGGCGAATAATTGACTTATACAGTCTTAATTTAAATTTTCTTTTTAGAAGCTTCATCATCATCATCATCAACTAGCCTCTAACGTCCACTGCTGAACATAGGCCTCTCGCATGCTCTTCCACTTAGTCCGATTTTGCGCCATTTTAGAAGCTTAGATCTTACTAATTACGAAAGGGAGTATAATGCTCTATTTCCCGCAACTATTCTGGCTGAGACCTCTTTTTCTGCCTAAATCTTGGTCTTGAATTTTTGGTTACTATTATGTATTTCGTCTTCTCTTCATTTATTCAAAGACCCAGACTACCTGTTTCTTCCGCGAATTGTAAAAACACCTTTCACACATCTCCTGTAGAATGAGTGTAGAAGGAGTAACTGCATATAGATCATCAGCAAAGGCAAACGATAGTTTTGATCTCTGATTCGCAAATCCCCTGTCAGATCAGACGAAATTTTACTTATTGCACATTATAAGGCTAAATTAAATAGCAACGGTGATAAGTAATCTTCGTCTCAGGAAGTCCTGATGTTATACTAAATGGTATCAATGTTCTGTTTCCTATCATTACCTGTCTACATGAGTCAGTTACGTGCATTTGAGTTAGCTTCAATAATTTTCTTGGTATTCCCGTTTCTAGCATTGCTAGCTATAGTCTACTTCTTTTTATCGAATCATATGCTTGCTGGAAATCTACGAAAATTTGTTGTACATCTTGGTTCAATTCCGAGTTTTTTTTCTAATATTTGTCGGTTGGTGAATATTTGATCTATTGTTGATATTCCAGCACGAAAGCCGCATTGGTAGTCGCCTAGAATATCTTCCGAATACGGAGTGAGCCTCTTTAACAGGATAACTGATATAACTTTATACGCTATGCTAATAAGCGATATGAATCTACAGTTTCGTAATTGTTCTTTATCCCCCAGAATCATTACATATCGAAATATTTTGTGTATTATCTTTTAACTGCCTTAACGAAGAATCGCTTCTTATATCTGAATAATTGCGATATCTCGGACAAGTATCGATCCGATGTACATAACAATTTCTTTGTGTTTAATAGAAAAAATTTTTGACCGGCCAGGATTCGAAACTGCGACATACAGAGAGAAATCTCGTTAGGTCATCGTTTTACCACTGCACTAACTAGGCTGTTAAAAATATTGTAACGAATCAGTTTAGCTCGGTATTTTTAATTTATAGAGTAAAATAGATCACTACGATTTCAACATGACGGAGCACCGGTATATTACAGCATTCAGATGAGACGTCTTCTAAGTAATACCTTCTCAAAAGCTCGTAGCTTCAAAGATCTCAAACCGAATACTAAAAATACAGCTTGAATTTACCTGTATGTAGTAGTACATGTTAATCAGTAGTAGTAGACAATTAATTTAATCTTTTTTATGTTTCCCGTTGTGAGACGTCTTTATTATTAATAAGATTATTTTAAAGTCTATTTTTTAATAATAACGAGAAAAAGAGTCGACAAATGTCTCAACTTTACCGTTCAATTGCTTGTATTTCCCTGAACTAATACATCTTATATTGGGCAGATAATATTGTTAATCTCAATGACGTATAATATATAGACCCATCCGATGGTGTATATATAGTGTCACAAACATGATTCCCTTTCCTGATGTTTAGTGTTTTGGTATGTTGCACGAAAAAGTTAACACATCTACGATGAAAAGATCGTTTTGTTTATGTATACGTTTTTCGTTGTGCTTTTCATCATTTGTGTTATGTTGTGTAGCATATTTTATCTAAAAAACAAATTTTATTTAAAATTTTTAAGGGAAATTTACTTAATATTTCAGTAAAATGCCTTTAG